AATTGAAAATTGAATACATGGTTCCTCATAAGTTTTTATTAATGTAACTAAAAAAAAATTTTAGTGTAAATAAACCAAAAGTTTTAATGAATTTTGTATTTAGAATTAAGATTACCTAAATTTGTTAATTATTTTATTAGAAATTCATAAAAAAAAATTTCATATCTTCACAAAATTCATCAAAATCTCAAAAATGTACAATTTATTTTATTTACAGCTAAAAATTGACAATATTTTAAATCAAGGCTTATACTATAATCTAAAAATCTAAAATAAACAGCATTTTTTTTATAGATATTTATACTTAACATTTTGACAAAATTAGGTATTTAAAAGAAAAACAATGATTTTAAAAATTTTGTTAATAAAAAAAAATGGTCTGTGAGTATATGAAAATTAAAACTTTTTTAATATGTTAATATAAATTTTTAAATTTTATACACAGACGTTTTCAAATTCAATTTTTTTGGAAAAATTACATTGAACCTACTGTATTACTAACGAATAATAGTAAAATAAATTTCTTTTATACCATTAATATTATAAAACCTACTTTGTAATATAGGCTGTCAATCCATCGATCTTGGCTCAGAATCAGTTTTCATATACAATAATTTTATAGTCTAATACCTAACAATGATTTCAAATTTAACACATTCATTACAGTATGGGCAGTATGGCACCTACTATACTGCAGAACGTTACCCACTTGTCACTTTAGTTTTGTTTTGAAATTTGTTAACATTTATATTTGATCRAAAATTCAATCCCTATAGCTGTCAGATATTCTGATTTTTTGKGAAATATTGCACTAACTTGTTTCTTGTCTCATAAATTGTTGACTGTTGGTATAGTAACCATTATTGGTAAAAAAAATGTATAAACCACATTGTGTGTTCAATAACTCAAACTATACTTGATGAGAGTGTTATTTGATCAATAGTTTTATTAGAAATATAAATAGTTGCTTTTAAATTTGATTTCTTACAAAAATTAACTTAAAATKTCAATACTTATCTATATAGATATAGAAKCTAGATAAATGTATTGAGTGTATAACACAATTAATGATAATTATTTCTACTCATAGATATTTGGTTTTGTTTTATTATACTTTTGGGTACAGTTTTCTATTTAARAATATTTAGACAAACTACAATGTCTATAGTTACCTTTGACAAGCCTGTGCCCAAAGTAGCAGAGTCTGATTGGTATTACAAAATAACTGAATTAAAAGAATCTTGCGATGAACATAGACGTCATGCATTTGCATTGAGAAATGAATCGCAGAGGTTAAGGAATGATACAGATGTCTCTACTTATTGGGGTACGCATCATACAAATTCTAAGATCTTYGACAGGTAATTGCCTATGRTTTTTACTTTTTGTTTTTAAATAGCAAAATAGAAGAATAAATAATTTTATGATTTAAGACGCATTGAAATAACACGCTGGAAAAATCTAATTGAATTATGGTATAAAAACTTACAAAAAGAAATTAAAGACTTGAAAATTGAAAAGGAAAAAACTGAAAAATGCATAGAATTTCTAAATTTGAACTTTGCTGTTACAAATCATTGCTTAAGTATAAGAGATGAAAGGCGTGGTGCAGATTTGTGCCATGATATTGCATCTAYTGAATTAAAAAAAGTATGCATTGTATAGTTATATTGCTCAATTATAAATTATAATAAGTATTAAGYGWTGGGTAATATAATATTATATCAAGGGTTTATTTAGGAGCAACATACTTTGGAAAATCTGAAAAACTTATTGGCCGAAGTGTGCCAAAATGCATGGGAAATGATTAACAAGTTAGAAGAGTTGGAAATTGATGTTGCCGAAGACTTAGAAAAAAARAATAATACAATAAACATAGATAGTGAGTTGTTGGAAATGACAAAAGATTCTAARAATATCTCTCTCAAACCAGATCCACTAAGAGTTCCAAAAGAGTAAGTTTTCAAAACTAATAATTTTGTCRAATAYGTGAGGATTATATCTACGAATATTTTATCTTGTTGACACTAATTTATTATATTTTTAATTAATATTATTTATCAATGTGATGTTTTAAAAGCAACAAACAGTTAAATTAACTGAGTTAATAATGTTAATAATCAATTAATCTAAAAGATTTTGGGTACCTATCAAMAAGTTAAAAATCAATTTTCCTTAAATGTTATCAATATTATATCTTTAATTTTTAGATACACAGATACACTTATTATACATGCAAACTGCTAATGAGACTAATCAGAGTAATATGAATATTGATTAATGTAATAATGTGTAGATCTAGGTACAAATCTTTAATCTAAYTTAAATTAAGTTTTTTTTTTWAAATTAAAACTCTTCAAGCTGCCACAAACCACCTCCAAGAACATCTAGTAACTCTACAACACTGGTTCCATAAATGGAGAATAAAAATCAATGAAAACAAATCAACATTCATCA